TTTTTTTTAAGTTTTAAAATAAAATACCTTTTCACAAAGATGGCCACCAAAAAACAAAGAAAGAAACCCCTGCCCTCCTCCCAAAGCCAAAACCAAAACAAAGGCTTGGTGGGACAAGAAGGCAATGCTGAAAGGCATCCACAGTCACACACAAAAAAGAAGATCTGCATGTTATCCACCTCCCGGTGGCCCAAGACACTCCAAAGGTGGCTCAAATATCCTCAGATGAGCAACAAGCTTGGCCACTATGCCAACCATTAGGTTTCCCTTAGCACTGACGCTGGCCATGAAAACAGAAGACAAAAGCACACTTGTGTTCACTGTAAATGTCAAGGCCAACAAGCACCAGATCAAACAGCCTGTGAAGAAGCTCTATGACAAAGACATAGCCAAGGTCAACACCTTGCTGAGGCCTGATGGGGAGATGTTCAACTGGCTCCTGACTACATATGACGCTTCAGATGTTGCCAACAAAACTGAGATCATGTAAACTGAGTCCAGCTGGCTAATACTAAATATAAGTTTTTTCACGCTATTAAAAAACTACAAAACCACAGTCTTTAAATGAGATGCCAGGTAAATAAAATAACTCTGCATATAACAGAATGCTCCAAAGCCACCATGTAAGAAATCCTTGTTACCACCGTGCTTTGAGGAAAGCATCCACAATGGAGAGCTATGTGGCAGGAGGTATCAGAACCAGGTGTGGGGAAGAAGGAACCATGTAGGGAAAGATGTGGTGGCAGAAAAGGTAATATGCAGGGGCCTGATCAAATAAGCTAATACATCATGGGTAACTGGAATCAGTTTTTCACTTTCAGAAACGGGTCTTCTATGTATATATGAAAAAATAGAAAGCAAGAATGAATCCAGTAGTATTGGATTGGAACTGAAGGTATCAGTATGGACTAATGTCGTTTAAAATACAGAGGGTGGCAAAAAAATGTACACACATTTTAAGAAAGGAAAAAACTGTATTAAAATTGTAATACTCAACATATACCGATAACAAAAGATAAATACAAGTCACGTTTGACTTCTGCAATTACAAGAGGTGCTCAAAGTGGTTATTATCAGCGTCAGACACTTCTGATTATGGTGAACATGGTTTGGTAGACTTCTGTGGCGAGCGTGTAAACTGTTCTAACACCATAGCAGAAGAAGCAGGACTTGTTGCTGTGCGAGGCCTCATAGGTCTTTCTTTGTGCACATCACACACAGTACCATGCTTCGCAAACTTATCACGAATGCGTGTAATTGTTAGGCATATTGGAGGTTAGGCATATTGCATACTCACACCTCCACCTCCATTGTCATTGTACTTAAACAACGAGCTCGAATTTCAAATACCACTTCAAAATGGTCTTGCGTTCCTTGAACCACAACTGTGCTTCCACCATTTTCTTTGACTGTCCTGCCTGTCGCATGGAGACGCTAGCATAATGCCATCTTTTGCGTGAACGTCAGACTACACATTGCTATCATAATTAAATTCAACTTTGAAAAGTAATACATAGATAACATCTCTTAAAATGTGTATACATTTTTTTGGCACCCCCATAGATGTAGATTTATGAGTATACACATACATACAAGGTGAGATCAAATAATATGGTGAATATTTAAATTTAAAAAAAGTATTTCAGTAAAAGATACATTGCCATGAATCCCCCTCAAAATCTTCCCCCTGGGATAAAAAAATCCCAACGGGATAAGTGTGTTCAAAGTGAGGGGGAGGGTTTTGAGGGGGATTCATGGCAATGTGTCTTTTACTGTAATACATTTTTAATTTAAACATTCATTGTATTTTTTTATCACACCTCCTACATATTCCCTAGCTCTAATAAGTGAGCCTGGAAACAGTGACATCTCAGTAGCAGTGAACACAACTAGCACCTAGATGTTGGCTTCTAAATACCATTCTCCACTAACAGGAACCAGGAATCCAAGCATCTTTCCACAAAAATATTACAAAAAGAAAAAGAATGAATTTACAGTGGGAAAGTGTGGTAGGCTGAGTAATTGTGGGGGTAGAGATTCCCCCACGTCTTGAGATTCCCCCACCTCAAGACGTCTACATCCTAATAACAATGAATATATTAACTTACACTGTAAAAGGAACTGTACAGATGTGACTGAAGATCTTGAGATAAGGAGATTATTTTAGATTATCTGGGTGGGCCCAATATAATCACAGGGGTCCTTATAAGGAGGCAGGAGGATCGAAGACAGAGAGATGCTATGACAATGGGAGTAGAAATTGGAGATGTCCTTTGAAGATGGAAGGAGGGACCACAAGCCAAAGAATACAGGCTATCACTAGAAACTGTATAAGTCAAGGAAACAGATTCTACTCTACAGCCTCCAGAAAGAACCAGCCCTGCCAACACCGTGACTGTTGACTAGCCCAGTGAAATGAATTTTGGATTTCTGGCATCGAGACCTATAAGAGAACAGATTTGTGTTGTATTAAGCCACCAAAGTTGGGGTAATTTGTTACAACAACAGGAAGCTAATACAGAAAACCTGGCAGTCACCATCTCAATCAGCTTATCAGTCACATTACCAGCAATAGGACAAACTGCAACCATACAATCTGACAGAATGCAATGAGAAGAATCAGTTTTGTGAAATTCCTAAGATACATAACTTGGATGTAATCATGAGAAAACACCAGATTACCCAAATTCAGGTCATTCTAGAAAATAATTGTCCTATAATCATTAAAGTCAAGAAAAAAATGAAGAACTGTTCCAGACTTAAGGGAGTCTAAAGAAACTCGCCAACTAAATGTGATGTGTGATTCTGAACTAAATCTTTTACTACAGAGCACATCGTTGAGACATGTGACAAAACTTGGAGTCTGAAAATGAAATGGTAGTAATGCTAATTTTATGATTTTCATGGTTAAATTATGGACGCTTTTGAAAATACCACTGGTGATTTTTAAATCTGTATTTCATTAAATTAAGCCTGCACAGTCTCCCATTTTCAGGTATGAAACCAAGGAAACATTTGATAAGGTCATAATGGTCAAATCTCTCTCTTTATTAGCCA